TAAACCCATTGCCTGATAAGTTCATTCTTATGAGACAGACTGAGCAGTCATTGCATATTCACTTCCCCTTGTCACTCCAGATTCCCATTGTTCTTAGGGTATTGTATTTGACAAGGCTGCATTTTAGATCTTGCACTGAGTTTAACACAAACACAATGTTTAAGGCTGTGAAATTGTGGAGTGGAGCTGAATGCACTTCATCTTTGTCTGCTCTCCTGGGACTGTTGTGATGCCATCCCTATTTCTGCCAGGCCACTTCATTTACATTTTAAAACTTGGGCTTTAGAATGGATATGTAAATTGGCCTTTCAGTTCATACAGTAACTCCTGATGCATAGTATTAAATTTAAGTCCAAACCATAAATTTAGGATTTAAGATATAGACTGTGTTCCTGTTCAACTTATACTGAGAGGATCATAAGATTTTGATTTGAGAAAACTGAAACAAAAATCCAAGTAAAAAACTAATCAGCACTATTATTTCTTTCTGTGGAAGATTCAGAAGTTTGTGTCAGTTTTGAATGTCCTTTTCAAATGAGGATTTATCCTTTTGAACTTGCATTCAAGATTCTCCAACAAAAAAAAAAAGAAAAAAATTGAGAGTATATTCTTGTGAAAAGGCCTGGTTTTCACTGCAACGTCCACAGACTTCCCTCTTTTCAATAGTGAGATAATTCTGTTTCTGGAAGCAATATCAGCAAATTACTTTTGTTTAAGAACACAGTAAAAGTATTCATCTCTTTAACTCACAGGATTTATAAATGAAGAGAAATGTGAATAAAGACATTGCTCATTTCCTGGTATTTACAGAACCATTATCTTTCACCTCATGGCCTCTTCCTCTGCTCTTTTTTGTCTTATAAAACCAAAACAAAATTCACAAGTGATTCCAATGGACAATATAATTTTGTTTATTTTGTTTAAAAATATATACTGTAAGCTAAAAAAATAGATTATATACATATATATATACATTGGCAAGAAATAGAAAGTGCCACTTTTTGTACTAAGAATAATCACAAGTTATTTGAATATCCCATAGTGTCTGTAGATATTTATTGGCAACAAAACTATCAAGAACAATGGCTATCACTCACACTAGACTAACATTTTCTTTACATATCTACAATTGTTCTAGAGCCTTGCCAGAGAATTTTAACAGTTGGTGTCTCACACTAATGTGGAGAATATAATTTGCTACATTCTGTTCCTGGTCATGGTGGGAAATACAACCCTTTGCTCCTTATTTTATTCCCATCTTTTCACAGGAAATCTTCCTATCTATGACAAAAACACGACAAAACAGCATAGCTTTATATTCTTATTTGGTACAGCTGCCCATAGCTGAACAAGCTGTTAGATGATGAAAAAGCAGGATCCCTGGATTTAGATGAGAATACAGCATTGCCATCTGCAGTTCTGCACAATTGCTTTTGTTTTGTAGTAGGTCATTGTCAGCTGGATCATTTACTGAGCCCTGAGATACTTTAGGAGTAGGTCTTTAGAGTCAGCTCAACACAACAAAATTGAGTTGCTCCTTTGGAGCTGCTTAGTGTTTGTTTTCGCCACAGCTTAGGTTTACAGAAAGGATTTGTGAAAAACAGTCTTTTTCATGAAAAAAAAAATCTAATAAACATTTGCTCACTTCTCCACATTTTTCTGTTCTCAGTAGGAAGAAAGATGGCTGGTGCCTCTTCCCATTTTCTTCCCTAGACAATTCCACAAAAAAACCCATAACATGTAGCTTAGTCTTGGCATCCAGCCTCCTGCCTGGAGCCTGGCTTGGGGAGTAGTCCCTTACTTACATGTTAAAAGAAACTTCCTTTTCCTTCCCTAAACTTCTGCTTTCCAAAAAAAGCAAGTGAAACCTAAGAAACTGAACCCTTCCCCAAACCCAACTAGAGGGCTGGAACTTGTGGTGGGGGGGGGGAGAATTTGTCTTTTCTCTCCAATCCTGACTGTTATTAATTTAGAAATATGTCACTGCACTGTGTCATTAAATGGCATAAAGCCTCTGCACTGCAAGATGAATGGCTTCCAACTTCACTGAAAAAACAGCATTTTTAGTATGAGTGACAGGTTTTCCTTGCCACTGGCCACCACGGAAGGTGTCTGTCCCACTCAGGTGCTTGCTCAACCAAGGGAAGCGTTATTCCAGCTTTCATGGGTAGGTGGAATTGTAAAGCAACAGATGCACTCCCAAATGTCATTTACTTAAGAAACACCTATTTAGAGGATAGAAGGATGGAGGAAGGTGAGGGAGTTTTCTGCCTACAACTTCAAAGGGCAATGGAACTGCCTGACACAGCTGTTTTCTACACAAAGAAATTAGGAAACCTGGAAACAGAGGGTCATTTAAGGCAAGGACCAGCGGCTGGTATTTTTCCTTGTCTCCTCACAAGAAGCTGTTAATCTCATTTCACTTTGAAGAAACCCAAGAAAGTATGTGTGCAGGCTCATGGGAAAGCTGTTCTCTCTTGACAGGGTGGGAGGAAAAGAGAAAAGGTCAAGAACAGAGCATGTTTACCTAAGCCATGTGCTCCAAGCTGTGTGTTGCTGTTGAGTGCAGCTGCTTTCACTCTGAGCTGGCATTTTGTGGTTTTGAATACTAGACCACTAAATAAAATATGGGGTTTTAATACCTCTTTTTTTTAAATATATCCAGTGTGGGCTGCTAAAGTAAACAGAATATTGCACGAGTGCACATTTCATTCATATAAGCAGAAGCTTAAAGCAAAAATGGGAGTGCAATTAGCAATAAAAACCAGCAGTCAAAGGCCCTGGAATACAGCAAAACTACAGGCAGATATAAATTTCCTTTTAAAGAAATATGCTTGGAGGATCAGTTGCATAATTGTGCAAGCTAAGGAGAACACTGACTCACTGAATCAATATTTGCTAAATTTGCTGGGCCAAATTCAACTCTTGTTCAAGACAGAAAACACTTTCAGAGCAAAGAAGGGGCCTGGCCATGAGAGTTACAGACAACAGGCTCTGGTCCCTGGGCCCTTCTCTTCCTGAGAGCATGACCACTGAATACCTTCTCAGGATGGATTATCCCTCTGCCTCAAACACTTTGGGCAGCTTGTCCTTTATATTTGATATTCAGCAGGCTAGTGCCATTAGGAATTGGTGCTTATGGTAGCTTTTTCAGTATTTTGACTAGTATTCATAACAGAAAAATACAGAACTGAACAAAGGAATTACTACATGTCCTGATGAAAAAGAAAGTAAACACACATTTACTAAAGATAAGAAATTAAGCTGTGCAAAAAAGGATGGAAACACAGACTCATCTTCAGAAACAGATATAAATTGAGTTGCTTAGCTGTTGCAGCCAGGTTAACAAAAGAGGAAAAGAAAATGAAAGAAAAAAGTTTTAAAAATTGACTTAGCAGGGCTTTAAGCAAGGGAGCATAGCCTGCTGGAATGCATGGAAAGCAGATAGACAATCTAGTGAAGCTGAAAGATTTGCTTTGTCTCCTCTGGTATTTCAGCTCTGAGGGAGCAAAAAATATATTTCCCTGAGCTTTTAAGTCGATCTGGTGTGTGGCCTCTTGCACCACTACAAAATCGTGTTCAGGTTTCACAGTCTGCTATGAGCAGGGTCTAAGGTTAAAGCAGAAGCAGTCTGGGAAACCTAAAAAAAAAAAAAAAAAAACAAACAAAAACCTCTGGGAGTTTGTAGTAGTTTGCAATATATTTTTAATATTTGTGGGTTTTTACCTTTAAAGACGCCCATTAATATATTTTATACCTTTTCCTTACCTAGGAGCACAAAAGAGTAGGACAACCTACTCTCTCACTTTTTGGGGGGCTTCACTACCTGCAGAAGGAAGGACAATCTGGCTCTGCACTGAAGTGCAGATCACAAGAGAAATTTATATTTTTTTCTATAGCTCTTCTTAAAACTGTGTGGGGAAAGATATAAAATCAGTGCTGGCACCTGAAACAACAGAGAGCTTTGATGACCTGACCCCTTTTTCTCCACCTTTCCTGCAATAGCAGATAGTGCTCTGTGGACTGAATTCCTCATTGTCTTGCAAACCAAGGGCAAGTCCTCTGAAGCCAGATAACTTGCATGCATGCTAATTCAGTCAATGCCCTGATGCTAGAGGACCTTCTGGTGAATGAATTTACCTGTTACTCGGGCAAATACTCCTTTCTCAGCCTCCTTCCTGAGGTAGTTTGGGAAAGCTTAATGAAAGTAGAAAAGAAAAAGATCAGAGAAAAGGAGAGGGGAAGAAAAATGTCCAAATGTAGTTTTATTTTAGAATGGCAAAACCTCCCTTAGTAGAAATGAACTAAGACAACAGAGGAAGCACAGTTTCTGGACTGAAGTGCTGTTTTGTGGTACTTCTGAAAGAATTTGGCTTTGTCTTGTCAACCACAAGTGATGGCAGAATGCCAATTTTCTTTTCAACTAGTTGTCATGAGTATTTGATGTTTCTGAATGAATGTTGATCAAAGGAGCTCAAAATGGATTTAACCTCTTAGATCTACCACTTAAAATATATTTAATTTTTTTTAAATTATGTTAAAAAATTTGGTCAGTCTGTGACTATTATTCAGCATGTATTTTCTGTACTTATACTAAGCTACTCAGTAACTGAGAGATTTTTACAGATAGCATCTAAACAGGGCTCTTTTTAGAACATATGACTAATTATAATTAATTGCTCCATAAATAAATTAATCTAAAAAGCAGCCCACTGATAACTTTTTTTGAGAAAACAATAGTCATCTCCCATTTCCTGTGAGGTAGAAGAAAATCAACAGATGCAGGTATCAATTGTTTCCAACCCTAGTACCTACAAAGCCTCTTTTCCCTATGTACTTATTTAAAAGCAACAGAGAAGGACTACACAAATGATCTGAGGGATGTACGGTGTACATAAAAAAGGCTTCCAGAATTTTCTGGAATTTCCATTCATCAGAATGTAGAAAAAAACTGCAGAAATATAAACTAACAAAAACACAAAAAGAGACAAAACCCTGTTGAGTTACATCAACAAATAAATCAAAAACAAACACTTTTGAGATTTTATCTTTAGTCTCTCTTCCACTCTTTTAAATAGGTACCAGAAGCTGTTTTGGAAAAGTGCAGCACACCTATTTTTGAGTGTGTGCAGCACACACCTATTTTTCCCAGAACTGTTGAATTCTTGTGTTGTGAGACAATTAGATTAGTTTTGTCCCAGATGAGAATGAAAGAATCTTAAAGTTTTTTTTATAGGCCAACCTGCACCCATTGAATTAGATTTGAAGGGTTTGAGCACCAAATATTAAATGTATTAAATATTTAGATTTTAATACTTCACTGAAAACAATGTAAACTTAGGCTCTACGTGCTGAACTCATTCATGAATAGTTCTGTTTTTAAAAATGATCCCTGCCTAGAAGTCAGTGCAATCAGAAACAGCTCCTTTTAGAAAATATGCCATAGAATACAAACCATTTTTGTTGACCTCCTCAGTTTAATTCCCCATTCTTTTCTTTTTTACTGGGAAGCCACTAGCATGCTCTGGCAATCTGTAGTTGAGAACCATAGGGCTAGACCCAACATCAACTCAGTTAAAACAAACTTCATTCTGTCATGCTCTACAAGTACCACTGAAACATAAATGTACACCAATAAACTCTACATAGGGATATAATGTCCTAAGAGATTTTCCAAAAACATGTTTTGGCCATCTACTCCTCCTCCATTTTGGAGAAGGCGCTTGCTCTTAACACCTCCATGCAATTCACAAGAATGAGAGCTCCAGTTAACTCTCGCCACTGCTTTGTCACTGGGTTTTTCATTTTATCCAAGGCTGATTGCAGGTCTTGTAAGACGTCCCTGTAACCATCTCCATAATGGGCAGCCCAAGTATAGAGAAAGTCATATGCAGGTTTCCACATCATCTGAAAAAAAAGGGGGAAAAAAGGGATTTAGTGGCAGAAATTTGATTATTGAGAAAAATAAAATAGCTAATAGTTGCTAAAATAGTTGAAAAGTCATAGAAAAGAAAAGAGAATATAAGTGTTTAATCCCTAAGCATGCTGAAATGCTTTATAAAAAGAGGCATGTTGATATAAAAACTCCAATAATCTTATTTATATTATTTCCATGAAATTCTCAAATTCTCAGAGAGGTAAATAATAGATAAATTCTTCACTCAGATCATTATCACCAAGTCAAAATATATCCTTGTCTGAAACTATAAGTCAAAGAACAAGAGTGGAAGGAAAATACTTTTCATCTTTTGCAATGCATACACCTGCAACACTTTCCCTATTTGGCTGTGCTTTTGATGGTCACTGCCCCATTAATCAACGTCCTACCGTCCCTCTACTCAGCCTGGAGATTTTAAACACACTTTTTACCTTTCAGAAATGTTTCCTGACAACAGCAGCAGAAACTTAATCTGGCTACTGCCGTGAAAGACAATAAAACATGCTTCTAGAAAGAAGTCAGCATCATCAGGAGGGCTAAAGAGATCACAATCTTTATTGGATACAGGGGGCAACATTGTGAAAAAAGATGAGGGAAAGGTTGAGGTACTTAATGCCTCCCTTGCCTCAGGCTAAAAATCCTGGACCACTTGCTCTCTGGGTATCCATTCTGCTGAGCTGGAAAACAAGGATGGGGAGCAGAATGAAGCCCCCTCAACTAATTTAGATTGGATATTAGGAAAAAATTTGTCACGGAAAGGTAGGTCAGGCATTGGAACAATCCGCTCAGGGACGTGGTTGAGCCACCATCCCTGGAGGTATTTAAGAGACACATAGGTACTTAGGGACATGGTTTAGTGGGGACTTGGTAGCGTGGGTCCGTGGCTGATCTAGATAATCTGACTAGCTGATCTTAGAGATCTTTTGCAACCTTAATGATTCTATGATTCTAACATGATTGATCTGTAAAATCTATTTTTAAAAAGAGAAAGCACCCAAACACTCTAAAACAATCAAGTCAAAAAATTATATATATCTATCTATATATATTTTTTAATCAGGACATAAAATTTGAAATTCTTCCCACAAGAAACAAAGGAAATTAAAATATAGCTTACCAGTGCTTTTTTCGTTTTTCAAACTACAATTTATTTTATGCCAAACAAATGGAGCAGATCCTTAGCAGGTGTAATTTGTCATTGGTCTAATTATATTAATTAAGTTGTAGCGGCTTGATTCAGATACCAAGCTGGACTTTTATCTTTCAAATGCTGAGTAAATTTCCTCAGTTAATAAACAAAATAATTATTTTCCCAGCTACTGCTTTTCCAAATGTTACTTGGGCAATCAAAATTCTGGTTTCCCTCTCCTCATTGGCAATAAACTTTTTGTAAACAACAATTGAGTTAACAGTTGCAGGGATGATGCATAAATTCACAAAAAAAAACATGACTCTCCTAAAATGTTTTGTCATTCACTGTTTTAACAGGAACATACTTATGCATAGTAATAAATTTATATGGACTAATGACTGCACATTTATTTATTTATATATATATACAAAAGTGATCAGGAAGCTGAGATTTTTTTAGCATCTTTTCCTCTTTTATCAAAAAACCCCACAGTTTTTATGATTGTGAAGGATAATTCTGAAGGAAATTGATTATTTCCTCAATATTACTTTATTATTTACAAACACAAAGCTTTACTTCCTTGATTTAAGTTTTATTTATTTGATCCTTGGAGGAACTGAGTAGGAGGAGAATTTCTTTGCTCATAGTTCTGAACTTTTCTCCACATTTTTGGGCTAAGATCTTTCAGCTTATCCAAGACTGATTCTGTCATTTTTTCTGTAAACATTCCCCTCAAATTCTGCTCCTATACTCAAATGGAATGAAAACATTAAACTTACAGCCACACAGTCTGATTAGTCTAGTTTCCACCTTGAGTGTAGGTAATAAAAAATTTCCTGTGCTTTGAGTGAATTTTCTCATTTTATGTCTACAGGAGAGAAAGGTATCATCATTTACCCAAATGACTGGTGCCTCCTAGCAAGTCTAGGAGGTCTAGCAAGTCTATCTTAAGTCATAACCACAAGGTTACAGAAAAAGAAAAGAAAAGTACATTGGTGGTAGGTGGGAAGAAGGAGATTAATTCTTTTGGGATTTTTTTAGAGAGGCTAAGTTGAAAATAATTTTTTAATGTACTACTGTAAATATTATATGTTATAACATATATTAATGAACTAAAGCAGGTCACCACTGATTTTTTATGGTAGGACCAGAAAGTTTCTCTATTCCTATTTTTAGCTTGATCATCAAAGTAGCCAACAAGAGAAGCTGGTATTTCCCAGAAGAGAAGCTGGTATCTCCTGAAATTCTGTTACTGGATATGCTTTTTTTGGGTCTCTATCTTCCTTTTCGCACATTCCTGTTAGACCAGAATATTTAAAGATTGAGGTACAGTCTTCTTTCTTCTCGAGAATGTTGAAAGACAATGAATACGAAAAGATGTTGTGCTTTGACTTATGCTGAAGGTCAGTCTGACATTGTAATAGGACAATCGTCTGAAATATCCTTAAATACAAACTTTGGTTTCCTCTATTCTCTCACAACTATTTTGTTGGGGTTTTTTTTTAATCTAAGAGAAAAGAAAAGAAAGAAAGTAGTAAAAGGAGAATGTAGGGATCAAAAGCTTTACAAACTGGTCACCACTGATGCATAATTAAGTCAGCAATAATTTACACACTCATCACATTAAACTAGTACTGCAAACACGGCAGTGGCTCTAAGGCAGATTCTTCTCCACATCCACATACTCTAATGCAATGGGTGAACTGAACTGCATTCAAAATTCCTGAATTGTATTAAGGCAGAATCTCAGGCAAATATTAAATATTTAATCACTGCAGCATCCTGGCCAAGTCTCAGCTGTGTGCATGAGTTTTCCATCTTTCCCCATCTCTCTGCTGAGTAAATAATGATATCTACATCCACTGCAAAGTGATTTGCTATTTACTGGTGAGAAACGCTTCATAATCTATCCACCAGTTGTAGGTACCTCAAGTTGCCTCTGTGATCATCTGCAAGAAGATTTCTCCCACCAAGAAAAATATGAAGTTTAAAAGCAGAAAGAAACATTTTTCAACCAATCAATCTTCCTGATGATGGAACAATCCTTGGGGGGGAATGAACTGGTTAATATTTTCATATAATCCTCAAAAGCTACTAAAAACTTATTAAACTTCCCCAACTTTTCTGGGTTTCAGGTTTTAAGGTCAACAACTGCTCTCAGTAGAAAAGTTTAGAGGTCAGAAGAAAGCACTGATATTTACTAGAAAGTATTGAAATTTAGGTTAGATTCAGAGGACATTGAGGGTATTGAGTGATCACATGAGACATCATGCTAGAAACCTTGTGCTTTGAACTCACACCCATGTGGACAAGCACAATTAAAAAGCTCACCCAAGACCAATTAATTCTCCATAGGCCCAATATAATCCTTGAGAAATGGCAGAGAAATACAGCAAAATTCTGATCTTTGATTGTTTGTTGAATGTTCTCTAAAAAAATATAGTGTATTCTATTATGGGCTTTTAATTATGATGAATTTGGGTGCACTATGTTTTGTCAGCAGATATTGTCACTGAAAGGCAGAGAATTTTCTGGGTGGTTTGCCATAAAAATAATGCAAAAAACTCTTGAAAGCAAATGGGTAGGATGTATGAGGTAGAAGATAGGCTTAATGGAAAATCAAAACCCATTTAAAGCAAAGTAAATGTTTATGTATAAATTTTCTTAATATATAAAAATAAATATTTATGATGCTGGAAAACCAGTTATAAGATTGTTTTGTTTCTACTGTCTATTAGCATAGGGGAAACATTCCAAAATAACATGGAGACCAGCAGAGTTGTATGTTGCTCATGTCAATAATTCCTTCTATAGAAAGCTGGGGGTTTGTTATCCAAACACAGAAAGCTTAATAACTAGAACAAAAGAGTAGGAAATAAGACAAACCACTGCCTAACAATAAAAAAGAAAAAAAACAAGAGAGTGGACATGGGATTTGAAAGGCTGATAATTTTATGAGAAAAAATTGGAGGAAGGTGCATCCAGACTTAAGTACCCAGAAGACAAAAAAAATACACAAAATAGCTCAAAGATAAAAACTGGATCTGAGAAGGAGGCAATGATTACAAACAATAATTATGAAGAAATTTTGTTGAAAAGTGCAGAAGCACGTGAGTAGACATGTAGAATTTTGATCTAATATTGATTGAGAATGGAGAGCAGAGCATTCAAAAGGAATAAGAGGTAGTAGTTCATGATTAAAGCAGAAATATCTTGATAGTTATCACCAAGCAGATGACAGATTTACAGGATTCAAACAGTGGAAAGAATATATTTGGCAGGGAATATGAAAATTCTGCTACAGGGAAATAAAAAAGGAAGAAAAAATTATCTTGAGTAGTTGTGAACCTGTGAATGGGAAATAGAAACTCCTTTGGCACTAAGAGGTGAGAGAGAGGGAATGTAGTCTGGATCACGTACATTACCTGCAATAATCAGGAGATGATGTTGTAGGCAGAGGGAGAGTCAAGCCTGAAGGTAAGCTGTCAAGTCAGAAAGATCATTCAGCAATGCTCATAAAAAAGGGATTTTCAGAGCAAAAACCAGTCTGGAACCTAGAAGCCATCGGCACACAACTCTGAGAAAGAATGGACCTACTGCATGCTCTAGTGTTAGAGAAGAGAAGGGCAGGAAGTAATCTGGTATGCCAGGAGCAGGGACTGACCCTCAGCTCAGCAGCGTGGACAAGGGTCCATCCACCTAAAATGCTCCTTAGATGTGTATGCACTAAAATACATCTGAGAGGATAAATTGACTTCTATACAAAGCTCAAACTTCTTTATAAGAAAAATTCTTTACAAAGGAAAAAAAAAATCACGATCTACTTGACAAACTATAAACTTAAAGCATAGATTTGCCACGTTCATACATCAGAAGTAAAATTAGTGTCAGGGCTTCCAACCTCTTCTCATGCTACTTAAGATAGATGATGGCAACTGTTACACTGGCACAGAAAAGTATTAATGATAGAAGTCAGCTTCCCTTTTGTGGAAATACCAAAAGCAGTACAGAGTGTGATTAGAGGTGGCTCCTGCAAGGACAAGCTGGTCCTCTTCACTGTGTCTGAAATGACAGCAGAGGTGCAAGTGAGGTTAACAAGTGGACAGGACAATAGAAAAGGATTGAATCTAGCCCTGAAGCTCAAGAGAGAGACTGAGACCACCACTGGAAAGTTCAGAAGGAAAGAAACCTGCAAAACAAGGAAGAAGGAAGGTCCCTGGCTGTGTTTGTGCAGAGGAGGAAATGTGTGTGCACTGTTAGACCAGCCCCTTACCTCCAGAGCCACTGCTCCATTCCTGCCCTGGTGGGGCACTTCATAAGCCTCTATTTGCTGCTTTGTGAGCCGGGCGAGCTTCTCTGCAAGCTCCCGCCAGCTTTTGCCAAGCTTGACGGCTGAAGTCAAGACGATGGTGTCCTGGGTAAGACGTGCCACTAATCCCTGGCAATCTATTTTCAAAAGTGCCTGCAACAATGATTTTCATTAGTGATCCTTCACCAGTAATTGCAAACAGAACATTTTTATTTAATTTTATAGGGCTATTCTGCATTTCTAAGCAAACAGGAAGACTTTTTTTGTGTGCGTGTTCTTACAAATATGTGAGTTTTTTTCTACAAAATGGTGTTGCCAATACTTTCAGAGGAAAACTGCCCACAAATTTAAGAAAAATATCAAGCTGGCATTCAGCTGATTCAGCATTCCAGTTTCAAATGGGTCCTGCCAAGCTTACAGATCCTGAAAGAAAAACATACTTCTCCAACAAAAGTGTTTGGGGCCAAAAAAACAAATTAGCTTCTTAGAAGTATGACATGAAACTTGAAAATTAAGTTAGAGCACTATTATACTAAAGTGTGGTCCTTCATCTAGGGCTTTATATGGAAAATTACTAAGCACGTTGGCCCACACCTTTTGATTTACTCCTCCCACAGAACTAATAATTTTTTGACCATTAAGGAGAAATGCAAACATGAAAAGTTTCCCTCATCCTTGCCAAATGAGGATTTAATTAAAAAATTAAAATCGTTGAAGGAGTACAACCTTGAAATTTAGATATGTTGCATTCTCCTTTCTTTATTTGTTTGGATAAGAACTAATGGGAAAAATAAATGTTGGGGTTTTTTTCTTCTCAAATTAACACCAAAATATTCCACAGAAACTGTTGAACAGGGAAAGATCAAGAGCAAAATACAGAAATTTTCCTTGTATTTTAGATATCGATTTTTACTGAAATAGCAAGCATTTCTGCAGAAATCAGACATATGTGTGATTTAATTTCTAAGTATTTACCAATAAAATCCTCACAGCAAACAATAAAACTTTGGTAGACAAAGTAGTGAGAAGCTGACTACAGTCTACTGTACAAAATTCCCCTAAATTGGAGACAAAGTTGTTCAGTTTGTGTTTGCTCTAATAAGCAAGAACCCTATAAAAACACAAAAAGTGGAGATTTCTTGAATGAAGTAACAGAAAATTCTATCAAAAAATTACATGGATGACATCTAGATTTATATCTAGCTCTACAAAGACAAGGACCTGCATTGGCACTTCCTAGAAAAAATATATAGATCTCACAAAACAGAACATTGAGCAACCTGCTCTAGTGAAAGTTGTCCTGCCCATGACAGGATGGTTGAAATCAAATGATCTTTAAGATCCCTTCCAACCCAAGCTGTTCTATGATACTATAAGATTAATCTAATTATGCCCCACTTTCTGCCTGTTTTGTAATGAACTCTGTTTCACTGTATTCAGTTAAAAGTTTGGACAACTTTCACCTTTAGGTCTCCCTCTCCTTTTTTTTTTTAAAGAGACATGACAGACTTTGCTGTACTTCATACTGGCTCCGTTTTATTCCACTAAATTTGAGGTGCTCTTAAGAATTGTAAGTGACCACGGCTACCAACATTTTCTGAATCCTGCTGAGATTTCCGTCAACACTTCAAAGGGAATAGACTAGTAATGAGAATTCAGTTGAGATAGTCCAGGATAGTCAAAAGGCTTTAGATGAATAGCTATAATGTGAGTTTTTAAATATTTATTTTTGTAATACTTTATTTTCATATCAGAAATTAATTATCTTCTGCCCCTAATAGGTTGATCAACTTTTCTGTCAGAGTCAGAGTATTAAGTTACCATTAATTTCATATTAATTTGCACACAGATCAGTAAGTAAATTAGAATTATTAATAGTGCAACTTACTACCTGGAATTAATTAGAATAAAGTTCTGATTCACATTTGGCAGTATTTAGTCACATAGAAGCTGTCCAATGGCTTCGAAATGAAGTCCCTGAAAATACATACTGAAGTATATGCAATATCCTTCTTAGGCCGCTACAACATTGACTATGAAGTTGTAAGGAGTGGATAGAAAATATTGCCCTCAACATTTGGATCAAAATGTCCCTTTTAAGCATATGAAGCTAAGCTAGACATGCAACTTAGCATAGACAAATATCTATGTATATATATATACAGATGTTGACATACAGATATCTACACAGATATATAGATATAGATGGATAGATAGATGATAGATACATAGATGGTAGATAGATAGATAGATAGATAGATAGATAGATAGATAGATAGATAGATAGATAGATATCATCAATATCTAGATAGTCTATCTATATTTATGTATGTAGAGTGAAATTCCTACAGTATAATAATGTTACTTAATACTTCACGGCAGGAATGTGAATTTCTCAAGAAAGCAATTTATCAAGACAAAGGACAAAACCATTTCAATCATGGATATTTAAAAATCAAAAAAGTCATCTTAGTCCACCTACTAAATGAACACAGTTCCTGGAGCATTGACAGAAGACTCTTCAGAATTAATTTATCAAAGCAATATTTTTCATGAGAGTTTGGAAATATTTTCCACCTATTGGTGCCTACAACTTCTAGTAATATATTCAGGTTTGTAAAGATCCTGCAAGGATACAGAATCATGTTTTCTTGTTTCTACATTACTACTGAGTAGCTTCTTGGCAATACATTCCCAATAAGCCAGTTAGTTCATGCAATACTTACAACGATGAGTTCATAAAGAAATAGTCTTTTTTTTTTGTTAGCGTGGCAGTCTTGCTTCATCTTCTTCACAACATGTGCAACTCTTTCTGATTCTTTATCAACATGTGCCTCATTGAAGTCATCCAAAGACATATGTGAGTATCCCAACACCTCAGCTAAAGCTCTCCAGTCATAAACACTCTCTGAGACTGTAGACAGAACTACCGAGTAGATATAAGTCAATTTCTTGAATGGCAATGCAATTTGTTCAACAAGATTCTTGGTTGTTAGCTCACTATCAGCAGTGTCCATAGCTTGTTCTTTGGAAATCACTTTTACGTTTTTGCAATGTACAAGACCAATCTTTCTTCTGAGAACTCCCACATACCACTCTTTCATTTTAGTTTGTCCAATGGCTTTAACTTTGTCTTCACCAAGCAGTGCTATTGTGTCTCCTTTAAAATATTCCAGCAAATAGTCAACCTTATTTTGACGTAACACAGTTTTCAAAGCCACTCCGTAAGTATTGACACTCAAAGTTTTGTCTTGAAACTTTGGATATTTTATTGTTGGGATCAAAAGCCATGGTGCAGACTTGATTTCTTTGCGGTTTAGTAGGCGCTTTGGCCTATTAATGATTCCACTTAATTTTGGAGCTGGATCAGGAGTCGTAACATGAAACTCTGTTACTTGGCTACTTTTCAAGATTTTAATCTGAACAAGGAAAACAAAGAAATGCATCTCCCTGCATCCAAGCATGGAAAACAGGAATTGTTGGCGGACCATTTCCCCAGTTTTCAACTCCTCCTTTTTAATATTTCTGCTTTGATCTTCCATTTTTATTTGGAAGTCTGGATCACAGGATACCAAAGAAATGTTTAGATCCTGCGGTTTTTCAAGCAGAAATGTATGTTTCCCCCACAGCTGAAACACCACAGGAGGCATACTTTTCCCCCCTTTTTTTATATCACAAATCGTGAGTTTTCCCGGAATGTAGTTATGACCAAAGACTGTAAAAACTGCAGTAAAAGATGGATGAATATATTTGGGACCATAAATTCCAACTGAGACTGTTCTATGGACGTAGTCCCACACATTAGTTGCTGGAGGCTGGATTTTGCTTGCTTGTACAGCAATCACTGCATACATCACATGACTTAGGTCCGTTAGCTTCACTTGTATGGTATCTTGGTAAATATAGCAATTTTCTAGCTTCTTAAAAGGCCCTTCTTTGTTGAGACTAAAAAAACACACAATATCACTCATAACTTGGCTGAGTGGATCATTCTTCACTTTAGCTGCAACTTTCACTTCTAGGAAAATGGCTTCGCTTGTGTTGAGATTGCTCAGTGTAAGTTCTATCAGAGGACTTACTGTGCTGGACAGCTCATTGTTGCATGACAATGGAGGGTTAAGGATAGCCTTTAAACCGACTTCTTGGAATTCTCCTGGTAATACATGACCCACAGGGACATGAATGTTGATATCTGAGTCGGGCAGCTGTACTGAACCCCCTTCGTGATCCAGTTTACAAACGACATGAATGTCTGTAGCTTGTGTCTGAGCCCATCCTGGGCTGTGGCTCATGGCTTCTAAATCCAGGCAGGAGCGGGTGAGCTGTCGGTGGCTCAGCCAGGCCATCTTGTAGGCTTCACGGTCATTCTGAAGCCATGTCATATCAGAAGCTGTAATGTTTTGAGGCGCTGTCTTGTGAGGATTAAATCTTAGGTTATCAACTATATCCAGGAAGTCAGAGACACTCTTGGATCGTCCAGATCTTCTTGCTGAAGCCTTCCTTAGGAGACAATCAATATCTAGCTCATCACCTGAGGAATCCAAAGAGTCCCTATTGCTAGAAATTTTAGAGAACAAATAAGGTTTTTCCTTTATGATAGAAAGATGTTTATTATTTTCATTTCTATTGGAAGCAGCTATGTCATGTACAAAAGGGTTGGATCCTGAAAGTTCATTCCAGAAAGGATTAGTCTTGGAAACAGCTTGGGCATGTTTGAATACACCAGGCCAGTCAATATCCAAATCCAGTTTACTTTCATTGACATCTGTTTAAAAGAAAAAAAAGAAGTATTTACTAAAGAACAGAGACTTGAGACATTCTATTCATGTCCAACTGATAGTCTGTTAAACTAAGAGGTGACTAAATTTTCCTCCTCAAATACACATAGATAATTTCTGTATTTCTCCTTCAGGTTTTTAAACAGTATCAATGTTGAATTAATTAAGAAACTTTCTTAATAGAAAGAGTGCTAATAAATTAGTGCTGAATAACAAACCAGTGTTGAAGGATGTAAAGAATCTTCTTTGAGGTGTTGATCATTATCAACTCATATGATTATTAATTGGCATTGAGTATGATAAAGTTCCATAAGGTTCAAACCATTATAATCCAATTACCTTTGGCCTCTTACAAAATGCTGTGGTTTTCTTACCTTTGTGTCTATCTCTTTGATTAAGCAACTACAGTTTCATTTTCAAACACCTCATCATACAGATAAATGCATCATTCCAGATTCCTTCTCATGTTAGTGCATGTGCATTTAATTGATAACAATACTCATACAATTTATCTCCATGTGTGTGGAATTTATTATACTAGCTTTCCATTAGAAAACAATCATTGATATAATTTATGAGACCTTGTACAACTTGAAGTTTGGAGAGAAATGTTTGTGTGACTACTAATTCTCTGAGATTGTACTTAAATAGACAAATATGGGCGTATAAGTGATACTTACATATGTTTTCTAATAAAAATACTTGTTATTAGCAGTAACATCTATTTTTTCTGGAGAAGAGACATTCTTCCATTTTATATTAACAATTGTTCAGAGAATCTGGTTTACTACAGTTGACTACAACTCACCCTTCTTGCAATGGGATATCTGCAACATTTTATGCTAAGGGTCTCTATTACTTCATTTTGCTTTTTTTTTCTATATATGGAGGCTATACCATCCCTTCTTTATACATTCTTGCAGAGTTTAAATTTTAGAGGGAAATGTCATTATTTCTATCTTTTTCACCATATCTATCTATCTATATCTATATCTATATCTATCTATCTATATCTATATCTATATCTATATCTATATCTATATCTATATCTATATCTATATCTATATCTATATCTATATCTATATCTATCTATATCNTCTATATCTATATCTATATCTATATCTATATCTATCTATATCATCTATATCTATATCTATATCTATATCTATATCTATCTATATCTATATCTATCTTACATTATTACACTTTCCACAGTACTTTCCATTTCCAAGGTTACTCTATATTGCTCAAATGCAAGCATGATAGTGCATAAAACCACAAAAAGAAAAAAAAAATTAAATCCTAGTACTTCTCTTTTTGTTTCCTTTTCCAAATTGCAATAAAAAGCCAAAACCATGAAGTCTTTCCACAATTGCAGAAAATGTCCAGTTTGGAAGAACCAAGGTGGAATTTACCTGTTTGCCAGCTGCCTATCTACAAAGCTCTAACATTGTCTTGACAAGAGCCTTTCAGATGAGCTGCCAGGGGGATGGAGCCCAGGGGCAATCTTCCTTTCCTCGAGGTCCTTGTCTTGACTGGGGTCACCAGAGGGGGACATGCTGTTCAAGCACACACTGAAAAAATCTTTTGTCTCTGCCCATAGGCCAAGATTTTTTTTTGTGCTGGTGCTATTACAGTCAGATCAGTATTGCATATTAAAAATATAGATTAATTAATCCCAAAATAAACATAAGAGTTTTGTTCGGGTTTTTTTCCCCATCCTAAAGGCATGTTTCTACAGGAAAAATATGAGCAGAAAACTGTCAGAGCCTGAGTCACTGGCATAGACATTTTCTCATGCCAAGGCAATAGCACAATTACTGGAGTGCAGCATGTCAGCAAAGAAAAAATTCCTGCTCCACAACTTACACAATTGTCAGGCTTGCTGCTATATCTGCTACTGGACAAGAAGCTAAGAGAATGCCTACCTTGTAGAGGGCAAAGTTTTCTCAGCTTTGGGGTTAAAATAGCAAGAGGATTAAATCAACTTTGCCAAGACTCCAGTTTATAAATTGAGGTAACTTCAAAATTACCCTGCCTTCATGTTCTTAAAACCCTAAATTAATCTAGTTTGGCTAAGAACTTCCTCTCCTCTTCCCTACCTTGACCTCCAGTAAACTTACTCTAAGTAGCATTTGTTAATGCAACATTAAAGATTCCAACTCTTCCTCCCAACCTGCCAGACCCAGAGTTTTGAAGAAATAAAGACTTTACTTAGAGAGCCATAGTACAGAAAATAAGAGTCATACTGTAGCTGTCTGAAGGTGCCTGGTCATCCACATCAATCAAAGTCCCCTCTGACCGACTTCGTGGAATCTCTCCACTGCTTAGGGAATCTGTTCCACTACTGGAAGAATTTTCCTCCTAGAAGACAGTTAAGCATATAAAACATCAGGAAGTATGCAACTTGAAAAAGGAGAAACTGTAGAAGAATAATTGAGCTTTGTTCCTGTATTGTGACATGAAATAAAAAAGTGAAGGTATAGATTACAAGTAAAGTTATGAACTCTGCCCAAGAGCAGAGTTCACACTCTTGAGTCTTACAATCATATGTGTATCAAACCCAGCAGATGCTACAGCTGCAGTACAATATGATACCCCCAGCCCATAGAGAAGTTCAATAACTCACAAAATTAAGTGTTTTGCAATTGGAACTGAGACAATTATACAATAACTTCCACTCTTGTCTTGAATAAAATATTTTAAAAAATAAATATAGACATCCTACATCCTGTTTTCAGGTAAGTTTGAGTAGAATTATTAAAGGGGAAGATCTATATCTGTTACTTTCCATGCCAATTAATAGAAAGTATTTTCATCCCTTTCTGCTTTATTATTCTTCTTATAATCCTTGCTGAAAAAGATCAGGTCAGATTTCCTTTTAGTCAGCCCAAGAATGACTTAAAGTATCCTCCCGTAGAGACCACACCAGCACAGCAACAGCCTAAGAGAGGATATTCAGGTCTCTCTTCTTCCTTGTTCTGTCTACAAGAAGCTCTGTTTCATTTTGGGGCAGGCCCTTTGAGGCAGAACACAGAAGGATACGCCTCTCAAGGTACATTGCTTAATGCTGAAGAAAGCAGGAATTGTTGTGTCTCCTAAATAAAGAGGAGTTACAGAAGTTCCAAGTGAGCATTTAGTATTCTACATGCAGAAATCCCTGTATCCCAGAAACAGAAGCTAGAGGAAATATGAGATCTTTTGTGCACAAAAACTCTTCAAGTTAATGCTAAAAACCAAGACATCCCTTTCCCAGAATCCTCTCACACATCCCATATGGAGTAAGATATGAATGGTGATGACCAACAGATACATTAAGATATCTGGAGAAAAAATGAGGCAAACAAAGAAACAAGGAAGGGGGAGGAAGAAAGAAGGAAAAAATCCAGAAGGTTTTTTGGGTCCATACATGGGATACAATAGTCAGCTTTGTTTGGGAGTCTGAAATATTGCAGCTTGTTACTCCTGCAGCAAACACTGCAGTCTAAGTAGATCTCTTTTTATCATGTTTAAAATGAAGAAAAAAAGGATTGAGCTTGGTTTTGCTGCAGCTGTAAGAAAAAGGAATTTTCAGTTCCATTCTAGTAGGTGAATTATGGGAAAAGGAAGCATACTTTATATCCAAGCATTACTGCATGGAAAGCTGAAGCCAGTTTGTTTTTGTTTTTTTTTTTATTGCACAATGCCATGGTTTAAGATATCTCTTTTTTTCCCCGCAAATGTAAATTGGTACTTTTTGGTCTTACCACAAGAGGTGCCTTCAGCTAATGACAGTGTGTTCAGGTGCTGTTTTGTACACAAGCAGGGTGCAAGGCTGAGGTCAGGCAAAGCTCAATAGTCACCCAGCACCTCCGAGGGCTGTATGGAACTTCAGGTTCCTTTGTTACCAGAAATCTCTTCTATTTGACCTTTGGAATCCTGATTTTAGCTAGTAGGTAAAGCTGGCCTCCAATGCCAATACATTCTGGCTCCTGCTACTACTACCCCACCAGAACAAAACTGGAAACTAAAATGCCTCCTTAATCCCAACACCATTAATTCCAAGATCTGGCATTCCACATCTGTATAAAGATATCAGTTTCTTCTGTCTCTGATAAGTGACTATATTTGATAACACATACAGACTCTGTCAAAATAAATAAATTTTGCCTTGCTGCTGCATCTCAAAATGCTGAAAACCTGAACACATTGTATAAGCACTCAAGAGTTTTCTCTCTGGCCTCCACATACACACTGTGGAGGTTTAATCATGCCAGCATAAGGTATCCATAGTCTAAAATCTCAATAAATGCACAAAAAGTAAGTCTTTGTTTTACAATACCAGTGTACTTGTTGCCAGCACTAATCTCTGATTTATTTATCAGTAATTACTGATACTGAATAATTTACTGATAATTCACAAGTGAATTTAAGAACAGTTCTTTAAATAGTTAAAACACCTATAATTATTTCAGTATTTCACATCTCAGCATAAAGTGAGAGGCAGTAAAGAAGGATGAAGAAGGGCACAAGAGTGCAAATGTACACAGGCTAAAACAGGAAACCCATGGAAAAGGGAGAAGAAAAGAGGAAGAGAGAAAGAAAAACAATCTCCTTACACAGGGGGATTGTATTGAAGGAAACACGACAAAAACACTGAATGTGGAAGTTTTTTAAACAATAAGGACTTCTGCAAATAGAATAAACCATTTCCTAAAAGTTCCCTCTGAGAATTCTTCAAAACGTTCATCAGCAGCCTGGCATAGAGATAGAAAAGGCAGATTCTGTAAAGGAAAACCACTTCCAAAAATAATCCTCCACCCCCATGAAAGCATTTCTTGGAATGACAGGATGATGAGGGATCCCTTGTGATTGAGGCACATCTTCAGGCCAGCCAAGCAGAGGATGAGAGAAGGGAGGAGATGTATAAACATTCCTGGGCAAAAGATGACCACATTTGGCCAGCATGTCAAGGGATGTGGGAAATGCTGGGGACAAGCTGTACACCCATCCCTGGGGACTGGGCAATGTGCATCCTGCACAGGGTTGCATGAGCTGACTCCAGGGTTGGGTTCCACCTCTTCTCTGCTCCAGCCTAAGTGCTGGGAATGGCTAAAGCCCCTGTTTCTTTCTACGAGACTAAGAAAATAAGCCAAATGCTTACCCTTTTCCATGGATACAGTCTGTGATAAAACAGCATCAAAATTAAACTTTTGATAGCACAAACTTACTAACTAGGGACTTACCTGGACAAATTCTGAAGAACAATCATTCACAAGAGAAGTGAGATTGATGCATGTGGGATATACAGCCATACTGATCAACATTAAAAGGGAAAGTTACAAAAAGCTTTTTTGCTGCAAAAAGAGGGAAATATGTATAGGAAAAAACAGAGACTAAGTTTTTAATTTACTGTAGCAACTGAATAAGAAAGATGTAAACTGACAAGTGCTTAATGGTGCAAGGAATTATTTAACTGATGGCATGTCAAGTCACAGTGGGAAGTCAGGAGAGACTGAAAAAGTGAAGAAGAGGTTGGAAAGAGATTAGCTGTAGAGGTGACCAGTGAGTGAACCTGAGTGCCACTGAGAGATGTGTCACTTTTTGTATGTGGGCAAGCAACAGTCAGCATTCTGCTGGAGGTTGCTTGATCCATAAGAGCATGCAACTCAGGACCCAGAGCTCTACTGGCAGCACTGTTACCAAGGAAGAAAAATGTACTAAATGCCCTAGAGGAAGAAGAAAGTCTTGGGTAGAAAGTTCAGTTTCACATAAGTAGGAGACAGATTTGCTGCAGATGGCATTTTTGCTGCATAAAATGCCTCCAGAAATTTCTTCCAGGTCTTTCAAAATTCAAGTGCACCTTGGTTTGTTTGGGTTTTTTTGTCCAGTCTCACTACCAAAAAAAATACATCCCACTGTGTCTAAAACTGGTAATGAAGAAAATAAGAGAAGCCCAAAGGCAAACACTATCCCACTTCCTTTGCTTTCAAAAGTAAGAGAGAACACATTCCATTGTGTTTTTTAAGTATCAACATCCCAGAGCAAAATACCAGCAATTTATATTCCATTCTACCTTAATCTTTCTTCAAAAGCAGGTTTTGTTAAGAACAGAGCTCTCCTGTGGCCATGTCTCTCCGTGGACTTCTACATGTTCCCCACACAGACAGTGCTACCTTTATTCAAAAAGATTCATGGCCTTTGTGTCCCGAGGATGAAGTTTATGCATTAGCAGTAACAGAGCAAGAAACAGACACAGGTGATGGTGATGTGTCTCATTCGTCAAGCTCATTTTTGGGTTACATGGGGGAAAATTACTCCCTACTTATATAGGTTGGGTTGTTAGACTTTTCAGTTTCTTTCTGAAGAAAGAGAAATGTAAATGCATCATGATGTTAAATAAAATGCTTCTAACCAAATCTAACCAAATACTCAGTATACTGAATTATTTAAATTTTATTATATAGAGAAAAGAAAAGGAATTCTAAAGAGACAGCAATACACAGAAGAGGGATTGTTTCAGAGGGACTGCACATCCAACAACCTTAAACCACTGCCTATTCTCAGCTGACTAACATATTTTGGAGTAAACATTAGCCACAGTAATAAGCCATATTTTAACTGTCCCTTGGCTCTTGAAGAAGCTTTATGCAGCTCAGAGTTCGATGAGAGGCTCTTGGCCCCAAGTTACTAAACTTTGATTACAGAGCTGTAGTGTGGCACTGTAGGCAGTGGCAGTACAGCATAGCAAATGGAATATTCACCTGCACTGAAGAAGCCTCTGACTTATTTTTGTCTGGTGCATGTGAGGCAGTCAAGGAAATGCATCTGTATCTCACTTCTAAGAGAGACAAAATTCACTTTTAATGTTCAGTATTGAAAGTACTCAACCCCTAACGTGCTAATACTCAGCTGCAACGTTAATGATCTAAGATGACCCAATACCTTGGCATTTTGACTGTAATTATAGAAAGGGATTTTCAATAGATATATCTAGTAGCTTACTTTGTTGTTAAATAGTTGCCAGGTTTTGTACCTATTTTTTCAATGTTCTGATAATGTATCACCCTGTGAGAACAGCAGAACCTTTCACACTGAACCCAGGGCTTAGACTTTCTGCAGACCCAACATTTGTGTGCATGGCTGTTTGGAACTGACACAATCACTGCTCGTAATGCTTCACCCGAGCTGGAGCTAAAAGATAGAGCTGGTACTCTCAGCACAAAAAAATGGGAGTTGAAGTGGGTCATCCTCTCAGTAGATTTCCACTATTTTGCACGTGGATTTTTATAGCCACTACTCAAGTCTGCACAATCCAGAACTGACTGCTTTTCAGCTTGTTTGGGGAACTCTATGCAAACAAAAATAGCTATACCATAGACACT